CATATCAGAGTTATGTTTTCAGCCCACTAAAATCCTTAGCCACTTTTTTTGTTAAGTAGTAGAGGGGATTCTTAAGTAGGGGTTGGGATAGCCTCTGAGACCCCTTTCAACTCTTAATTTTTTTGTCAGTCAGGCCCAGAACTGAACAGGAGAATGGGAGTGACTGCCCAGTGTTTTTAACGAACCCCACTCTGTTCCTCAGCTCTGAGACTCATTTTTAAATAAAACATCCTCCTAGAAATGCTTTGTTGTCGTTCAGTTGTGTCCAACTCATCCTGACCCCATTTGGGGTTTTCTTGGCAAAGATCCGGGAGTGGTTTGCCATTTCTGTCTCCAGCTCATTGTACAGATGAGGAAACTGAGGCAAACAAGGTTAAGTGAGTTGCTCAAGGTCACACAGCTAGTAAGTGCAATAGAACAAGAAGGTTGTATTTCTGATGCTGAAGAGACAATGTGGCTGGATGGGAAAAACATCAGAGGCCCTGGAGCTACAGCGGGCTACATCTGTGACCTAGGACAAGCCACCACATCTCTCTGGATCCCAGTTTCCTCATCTGTAAAACAAAACAACCTATGAGTGACAGACTAGATGACATCACTCCAAGGTCCCTTCTAGCTACAAATTTATGATCCTGAGATGTTAACACTTAAGTGGAAGTGTTACGTTTGCGGGCAAAACTGGCTCCTACTACCTGTTCGACCTTGGGAACACAAAGTCTCCAGTGGTCGGCTTCCTCATTTGTAAAATGAGGGGGCATCAGACTAGATAATGTCAGCTCCCTTCCATAATTCTATTGCAAATAGGAGTGCCCCACATCCACCCTCATCCCCAATGAACAAATGTTCCACACCCTGAGAAGTAAACAGATAGGTGGTTTGAGTATAGAATGCGGAGTTTGGAGTCAAGCATTGAGTTCAAACCCTGCCTGAGGCACTTATCAGCTACCTGTCCCAGGCTGGCACTTAACCTTTCTCAGTTTCATTTGTAAAATGAAGTGGTTGATTTTAGTGGCTTCTAAGATCTGTTTATCAGGTGAGATAGCCTCTTTGATTTACAGACTCAAAGGCGTGAAACAGGTGTGAGGAGTGAAATGCTTCAGATCAGATGATGACATACGTGTATTTCAATTGGCTGAAAAAATTAGGCCCCCTTTCCCTGCCACGTATATCAGAAGAGATTTGAGCAGAGGCATTCCAGCAAGGAGCCCTGTGACACTCCTCCCATGGACCATGTCAGTAGCAGCAAGGGATGCTTCAGAGAGAAGACAAACTAGAAGTGCATTTCAAGGACAGTGACTTCTCCAAGGGAGCTAGGAGTCAAGTGCAGCATCAGGCTTTTACAAGGGTCCTCACTACCTGACCCAGCAGAGTGCTATGCACACCTGCTTAGGGGAACTTCCTGAGGGCTCCAGGAATGGAGTAAAGGACTTCCATCCAATCAAGAGCTGTTACCCTTTTGACAAGTGCTCTTCAACCTTGAGCCCACTTTTGCCTGGATGCTGTATGGAGCTATGGGCAAGTGTTACTTTTTGTCTACTAACCACATCCCTGGTGGTTTGGTAAGCTAGTTCACTTTGGCCAGCTAATTGATTTCAGTGGGATAAACCATAGGGAGCACACCAGTGGGAACTCATGAATGACAGTATTAGAAACCTCCATCCTCTTTGGGTTACTCCTACAACTCTGAGGGAAGCAGGGGTCAGACACCCTGAGGACCAAGCCTTCCAGTTCAAGTTAGGGTTCTATATATACTATGAACACTCTACTTCCCACCTCCATGCTTTTTGCACAGGTGGTCTCTGCCCTCACCCCCTATACACCAGTCTCATGGCCTCCTTAAAAGCATAGGTCGTGTTGTCTTTTCCTTAGCCTCCTAGATATTAGCACTTCTCCCCTTTTAAAATTAGTTTGAACACCCTGGAGTCAGGAGGACCCGAGTTCAAATCCAGTCTCAGACCAGACACTTGACACTTACTAGCTGTGTGATCCTGGGCAAGTCACTTCACCCCAATTGCCTCGAAAAACAAAACAATAAAATGTTTGCACTAACATTTATGTATCTTCCTAGTAGAATGTAAAACTACTTGAGGACAAGGACTTTTATTTTTGTATGTGTATCCCTTCCATATATTAGGTGTCTAATGTTTGTTGAATTCATTTCATTTGTTCAATGAATGGATAACTCAATTCTGTAGCAGGTTAAGGTTTAATAAGCGTTTCCCACATTTCGAGATGGGTTGTGTATCTCCATTTTATAGATGAATTAGGGCTGCGTGAGCCTAAAGTTAGTGCTTCACTCAAAGCCTGGCCTATGTGATCTGAGGGCAGGGAGCCTAGCCTATGGCGGTTCAGTGGACATTGGCTAAACATTCTGCCCCCCCCCCCCAATTTCTCATCTACAGAAGTAACAGAAACTTTACCTAGCTTCATGTACCCTTCCCACTCTATCAGTTTTTACTGTTGTATGGGACCTGAGAGCTCATCTAAACTGACCTCTCATTTTATTTGAGGAAATTGGGATGGAGAGAGGGCAGAATGACTAGCCTAAGGTCACACAGGAAGTGAGAATCAGAACTAGGATTTGAACTCAAATCCTTTGACTCCAATGCTCTTTATACTTCACCAGAGTGCCCCTTGGCAGTGGGACAGCTCAGGATCAGCAGGCTAACCATGACCTGGAGCCCAGGTGAGCAAGGATCCTGCTTATTCTTTTGGGGCTGAACCAGGCAACCTTCTACCCTGTTTTGTTTCTGCCTATTTACTTAGTATCAAACATGCTGGTGTCTCTTACTAGAACAAAACCTCTTCGAGGGTTTCGTTTTTGTCATTTTATCCTTTGCACCCAGCAATGTCTACCACACATTAGGTGCTTAATGCAAACCATCACAAACCTCAGATTATTCTGAGGGCAGCTGAATAAAGGATGTCATCAGATAGAAAACACAACAAAACTGGGCTGCCCATTGCAGGGCAAGCCCAGGGGACAGTACCCCTGATGCCTCTAGGACAAAATGCTAATTCCCTAGTTTGGTGGCATTTAAGGTCTGGAACCTGCTTTCCGATGGTACTGCACATTTTCCCATTCACATACTCTGTGTTACAGACTGGCTCATTAGCTCCTCAAACTCGAACAATGATCTCCCAGCTCTAAAACCCAGATAGAATGCACTGTCTCTGCTTTCTAGAATTCTTGCCTTTAAGAAATCCACGAAGCCTTCTCTGAGCTCCCCACTTTCTGTGCTCTTGCTGGGGTTCTCTCCACAGACAGGATCGTGTAAGCTCCTGAGGGCAGGGACTGCTTCGTTTTTGCCATGTTATCTCAAGTGCCTCGCACACTCGAATGCCGAACATTGAATGGCAACGTTGTTGAATTTAACCAAAAGGATTTTTGCATGTAAAACATTTCTGGAGGCACGAAATATTGTTAGGGCTGGAAGGGTCCTTAGTGACCGTCTAGTTCAACTCCCATCATCTGACACATTAAAAACAGCAGAGGGGGACAGGGATGACGCAGTTTTTGTGCCTCTTACGTGTGGCAGCCCCTCCTTGGCTCAGTATTTGTCAGTACCTCCTCCTCTTCCTCCGTACAGACCCGACCAACTTCCTTTAGGGAGCACCACCCACTGGGCCCCTACAAAAAGAAGACTGGCCCTGGGCCAAAGGAACTGTGAAATACATCTAGCCATGGAAGAGATGCAGAATACTAAAACATCACTGAAGCGAGATTTTTTTTGTTGTTACAGTGGCTCACCTCTAGGGGAGGCACGCATGCTAAAGAGGCGGCAGGTCTTTGGAAGTACCAAAGGCAAAGCAGTTCTGATCCAGTGTAGCACTACCCCCTCTGAGCCAGAGAAAGTGCCAGGCTTTGGAATATCAAGTATCAATCCAGGCCAGTAGGAGTAATCATATGGCTTTGCATAGTTGCTGCCCTGGCAGAAGAGCAAAGTCTTATCTATTGACAAGGTATAGAAACAGCGTGTGAAATAGATTTGTGAATCTTGAAGCACTCTGTTTCAGCTATTCACCAATCAGCAGAATCAGTGCTGGGCTAGGAGCCCGAAGGCCTGGAGTCGGACGACTGCCCCACTCATCATTTTTCCGGTCTCCTTGTCTGTAAAACATGGGCCGGTGGAGCCTGCCCAGCCTCAGCCAGAAGGATGTCATGAGGAACGGGGGAGTCCTCCAATGGGAGCACTCAGAAAAGCTTCAAAGTTCTCTAGGCATGAGCAGCCACGTGGCATAGTCCAACAAAGAGACCAACAGCCTGGGAATTGGGGAACCAGAATTCTGCTCATCTTGGCCACAGATTCACCTGGTGGTTTTGGGCATTTTCCCTTTCTGAGCCTGTTTCTTCTACTGTAAAGTGTCAACTGAATTCTCAGGTCCCTCCAGCTCTGAAGTTCTATGTTGTAAGGGCCCCTGGGATTGATGTTCCAAGCTGGCGTCCTCTCCGAGCTCTCCGGCAGGTAGAAAACATCCCTGATGCTCGACACAGCACCTGGAATCCTAGTTTCCCCACTTACCACCTATGTGACCTTGGGCTGGACTAAACAACCCTGGAAATCCCATTTTGAGCTCTCTGATCCTAAGAGCGGCTGTGGACGGAATCTTTCAGAAGGGGCATCAGTCTGTGTGTGTGGGGAGTCATTGCCTAATCTCAGCCAGTCTCCTCCAGCCCTGCCCTGCCCAGGCCATTCCCGCCAGCCTCTGTAAAATGACAGCTGTGGATAACATCGAGAATCCAAGAGACTAAATGAGGTCTGAGGGACTAAACTGGTATAGAATTGGAGGTGTCACAGACCCTGTGAACAAACTCTGTGAACCCCCTGTGTGTGGAAAGCTGAGTCAGGGTGCAGCCTGGCCTTAGTAAAACCAGGGATGGATGACCGGTGGCATCAGCAGGAGCAGGTTCATAGTAAGCCTGCAGGGGCCCAAAGCTTTGGGGGCCACTCTTATGTCTTGTGGAGCCCTCCCCACTTCCACAAATTCCACATCCACACCTAGAACAAAATGTTTTTTAATCAATTGCATCATCACCCTCACTCTGCTGGGGGTGGGGAGGGGGGGGCAGAGGAACAAAAATATTCTGCTCCTGCCCAAGTAGACAGTAAGGCTTTTGTGTTTCTTCCACACTGGGGGGAGGGTGGAGGGCCCTGGGCTGGAGCAGAGTGAGTGTCGGCTTAGAGGCAGGAAAGCTAAGGGGCTATGCCAGGCCTCCCATCCCCTCCCTCCTCAGGGAGCCCTGCCCACCTGCTTCTCCCTTTCTGGGTTAGAAAAGTCAGGGGAAAGAGAGGGGAGAGCAAGTCCCAGCAGCAGCTGTCTCCTTCACCAATAAATATACTTCATTACCAAGCGAGGATAGGAAGGAGGGAAGGAGGAAAGGAGGGAGGGGAGGGGAAGGAAAGAAGGTAGGGAGAAGCTGCCCCTGCCTTTCAGGGAGTGAAGCAGCAGAAAGACGCCCCGAGACCTTCACTGTCCACCTTTCCTCCAAACCCACCCCTAATTTTGCTTTTAAAACAATGAAATGGATTTTAAAATGATTCTCAGCCTGACTAGCCAGCAGAGGCAGAGAGGTGCTCAGAAGTGCCCTCCTTCTGACTGGAAGGTGGGGAGAATAGTATCTACCTTTTCCAAGTGTCCTTGGCTTGGAGGTGGGGAGGGTGGGACCTGAGAAGCAAGGGGCAGTGGAAGCCTTGGCTGGTGCAACACTCTATAGGAAGAGGAGGACATGGGGGAGGGTGAATGAGACCCTCTTCTCCACCAGCATGTGCAGATGGACATGAGGGGTGGGGTGGCCCCTATGGAGGAGACAGACAGGAAAGCCGTCACTTCCTTGGTGTCCAGAGGCTCAGCACAACAGGGAATGTAAAATGGACAGGAAAGGCAGGAGGAGAGAACTCCATAGCCAGGGGAGGGATGGTAGAAAGGAGCCCTTACTTAGCATTATGCTCAGCATTGATGCTGGAAGAGATGAGGGGCAGGGGAGGATGCCAACAGGCTCTGGGGCAGAGGTCACAGTGAGGCCAAGCAGAGTTGGAGAGGGGGTATTAGCATAGTGAAAGGCTATTCTCTGCCAGGGCCAGTGGCTCTAGGCCCCAACCACTTTCCCAGGAACATAAAGGGAATGAGTTAATTGAGGCTGCTAATTGAGAGAGAACTGGGGGCCAGGACATCAGGACCAGGGAGCTCTCCTCCTATGAGGCTGCATTAGCCTGCACTCTCCAGTCTAGCCAGGGTGGGGTGAGGTTTGCTTTCCTTCAGTCTGCTCCCACCACTTCAGGACCCTGCCTCCAGGGAAGAAGGGAGGAGGAGCGCTGAGCAGATGCCAGACTTGGCCAAAGCCTCATCCCTGACCACCCTGGAGGACGCAGGGAGACAGGCCAGCTCTCCAAGGACTCAAGGACAAAAACTAACCAGAGCCAAGGGCATTTGTAGCCCAAGATTCCTCCTTCACACCCCATGACCCCCTCTGTAGTCATAGAAGGGCTCCACTTACTGGGGCTACACTCTTGCCCTCACACATGCCTAACCCCCTTTCCCAGCAGCCTGATGCCAGAGGACTTGCTGCCAGGGGCAGGAGGAGGGAGGCTGCTGGAAGAAGCTTCTGCTCTGGGCCTGGAACAGTCACCCCCAAGAGTCTGGAAGCCAATGAGCTGTACTGTCCCCCACCCTCCACCCCCAAACAAACAAACAAAACGGGGTGGGGGGAGTCTGGAGGGGGATAAAAAACCCCAAAACAAAAAGAAAAACCAGAACTAAACCCCTCCCCCTCCCCCTCCTCCTCCTCCTCCCCGGTGAGGACGTGGGAGGCGCAGGCTAGGCCTTAGCTGGGCCGGCACTGGACCTGCCCCTCAGAGCTGTCCTCATCATCAGAAGCCCCTGCGCCTCCACTGCTCAGGCCCGTGATCCGATAGCCCATGTTGAGCAGCATCACCTCCAGGGGATCAGCGTTCATCCGGCGCTGGTTGGCCTGAGAAGCCCCCTCCATGTCCTCGACCACTCGCCCTGTGAGGTCTTCACTCTGCGGGGGGGAAGGAAGGATGGAAAGAGGGAGAAGAGGGGTTGAGAGGGAAGCAAGCCCCATGTGTTCCTATGCCCTGAGTGAACCAAGTCCTAAGGGACAAAGGCCTGAGCCGCGCCACGCTGCCATGGCCCTGACCTCCCCTGCTGCCGGGCTGTCCTTTTTAATCTCAAAGACCCCACTCGGATCTTCCTGACGACCTCTGCTCGGTTTTCCTGTAGAAGTAGGGGCAAATGCTATTTGGAATCAGAAAACTGTTTGGTTTCCAAGAAGAGGGGGAGAAGTGGAGGGGCCAGTCCCCCAAAGGCAGGGTGTCCCTCACAAAGAATACAAACACCAGCCTTCTTCTTCAGGCCTACAGCAAATCCCACTTTCTCTAGGAAGTTTTCCTTGACTTCCCAGGTATGTGACTATGTATAGGTAACTTCATCTCTCAACACCCCAGGTCCTCATCTTTAAAATGGGGATAATACCATCACTCACAATAACTACACCTCACAGGGTTGTACCCAAGGAATATGAACTACTGGGCCCCCTCCTCCCTGTCTTCCTGCAGCCATCCTTCTAAGGAGCTCTTCTCCATGGGTCAGTCTCTGCCCTTCTGGACTGGGAGCTCTCCTAGGGAAGGGCCTGCATCTCCACCTTCTTGCTGACCTCCACAGGGCTAGGCAACGGCAGCACTGCGTATCACAGGTGTTGGATCAAGAGCCCTGGGGCTCCATCCAGGAGATGGCAAAAACAAGGACAATAAGAAGCAGCCCACCGCCACTGACTCATGCCATGGTGCTGGATGGTTTCTCAAGGGTTTCCCTTCTGAAGCTGTGGCTCAGAGACGTCAATGGCTGAGAACGCTTAGGAGGCACAGTCAGCAAGGGCCAAGAGTTGGGAGACGGACGCAGGTCTTCTGCACTCTTTCCACTCCACCCTGGGTCTCACCTCGGGCCGAGGGTTCCAGAGCCTCACGACGGGGTCGATGCCGCTGGTGGCCAGGAAGCAGTAGCTGGGGTGGGGCTGCAGGCAGTTGACGATGGACTCATCCCCCTGCAGCACACGCACCAGGTTAGTAGTCTCTTTCTCCCAGATGAAGAAGGAGCCATCATCCGAACCGCTGACAATATACTGTGCATTGCTGGGCAGAGAAAAGAGGGAGAGCTTGGTCACCAGGGGTGGGGCCTCACTGCCAGTATTCACACACATCCTGCCCGCCCCCCTCACCCCAGCCTTGTCCTTCAGTTCCAGAGGCTGCTGGGATGTCGGACTGGGGGAGCAAAGAGAAGAGTGTACCCTATGTAACAGAGAAAAGGGCCAGGGGAAGAAAAAGACACTTCAATAAGGCTCACCTTATTCTGAACTACTATTTTTGGAATGAATAACAAGAACAGCCCATTTTCACATAGTTGGGTACTATAAGTATTATTGGCCTCATTTAAGCGATAAGGAAACTGACCCAGAGATGGCAGAGCACGAACCCATGTCTTTCAACTCCAATCCGCTCTCTAGTGCGGCACCCTCCCTTGTTGCTCCCTTCCACCAACAACACACTTTATACCTTTCCACTTCTCTACCTTACTCGTGCTCTTCCAACCCCTCTTCACCTGATGAATTCCTACCCATTTTTAAAAAGTCAATTCAAATGCCACCTCCCCCCAAAAAGACAAAAGTGACCAAATGAGAGAACAGATGCAAAGTGCTTTTGCAAATGTTCAAGTATTGCATAAATGCTAGAGGCTTCCTGCTCCCTCTGCCCTCAACTAGAAGTTTCTTTGCACCCCTGGGAGCACCCCACAATAGAATCCCACGTAACAGCTGTTCTTGGGTCTTCCCTCCCTACTAGACTGGAAGTTCTTTGAGGGCCAGATTTTGTCTCCAGCAGCAGTGAGCACAGGGTTCATGCTCAGGAGCAGGGCACACGGTGTGCCCAGCATTGATTTTGGGGGCTCTCATGAGCCCCTTCCCAGCTGCCAGGCTCTAAGTCCTCGCAGGCTCTCTCTTGGGGTGAGGAATCAGCCTATGGAGAGCTAGCTTGGTGCGCTGCTGGTCTGTGCACAGAGAGGGCTTCTGCCCTCCTGCTGCCAGCCAAGCTGCCCGCAGGGAGTGAAAGGAACCCCAACTCACAGACCTGCCGAAGAAGTTTGCTTCCTTGATGTCGGTGGTGGTATTGCAGTGCCCACAGTACCGGAACTGGTAGTCATAGCTCCGCTCCCGTAGCACCATCTCGTCTTCGGAGATGGAGTCCTTTCGGCTGGTGCTCCTCAGTCGCACAGGACCGCCACCCTTCTTTTCCTCTGTGGGGAGAAGGGGCCAGAGCCAGTGAGCAGCCGGGTGCTCTGTCCAAGGGTCGGCCTCAGTGCCAGGACAGGGCTCAACGGGAGCTGGCCCACAGGGACATTTCTGGATGGGGCTGACACAGTGGACAAGAACTGGCTGATGCCAGGCCTGATTCAGATTCACTGGAGACAGCCACAGTGACTGACAGTGGGGAGGACAGAGAAGTGTCTTTCTAACATTCTTCCTTCAAGGAGGCTGCCAGGGTAAGGGCTTGGATGCTCAACAGTCCCACTGGCACTCTGCTGGCCTCAGAGATTATTTGTCTCTTCCAGGGATGAGGGGAAGGACTAAAAGCACTGAGTGAGTAGACTTTCTAAATTGATCGTGGAATTTAGACATTACAGCTAGGAGAAGTCTCAGCTGTCTAAGATCCAGATATCTCCAACTCCATGACTTTAGGCAAGTAAAGTCTGAGCAGAGAATGGAAGCGCCTTGATAAGAGGGTCTGCGTTTTATTTTGTCCTTGTAAGCACTAAGCAGGTGTTTGGCAACCCAAATGGAACTGCCACTCCCACTTTACAAATCAGACATGTCATTTTACAGTTTCAGAGAGACGGAATACTTTGCTAAGGTCACACAGCGAGCAAATGGTCCAAGTCTCCTGCCCCCACAGCAACACAAGCTGGAATAAGACTATGACCAGCACAAAACATGATGTGCACAGTGGAACACACACAGAAGAGCTGCATTTGGATTCTGACTTTGCTGGTGAGGGCTGTGTGACCTTGGGAAAGTCACTGCCCTTACTGTTTTTTGTTGGACCACACAATCTCTAAGCTCTCTTCTGTAATCTAGGCCTACGCCTCAAGATTTGACTTGATTCTACCCTTACTGGGTTTCCATGGGGGCAGCATTGTTGGGGTGATACCTGGCTCAGGCAGTTAAAGAAGAATGGGGAAAGGATTTGGGGAGGGCAGGATTAGGAAGCAATACAAACCTGGAACTCCTGGTACCTATCTGGGCCTAGGTCATAAGCTGGCAGGGGAAGTGAGGCTCACACCCTTCTCCCTCAGATGATTATCAGCACCTCAGCCATGCTGGCCACTCTTGCTGCCCATCTCACTCACCACTATCACTCTTAGAGAAGAGAGCTGCAGTGATGTCCCGGCCTAGAGCATCACAGGCACTGCTGTGGGCCTGCTCCGGGAATTTTCCTTTGAAGTCATCCAGACACTCCAGGGCCTCAGCCACATACTTGAGCTCGAAGAGGCATCGGGCTAGACGGAAATGAGCCTTCAAGTGGCAGGGGTTCAGGGAGATGGCCCTGAGGCAATCCCTCAGGGCATCATAGTGGTCCCCATCCCTAAGGAGACAGGATAGCACAGGCAGATAACTGGAGGCAGGGGAAAAGAGGGAGGGATACTTCCTTCACTACACCCATTATCTCCCTGAAGTGCAAATCCTGGCCTAGCTAGGAACAGGGCTGGGTGGCAGTGGGGATCAAAGGGCAGTAGAATGGCCAACAGGAGGTACCCAGTCAGTCTTCCTTTCTTCCTCTTCCCTGCCCCCAGCCCACCTCTTCCCAATCTAATTCATAGATTCCACTGAGACATGATCGCTCCTGGGAAGGAGGTGGAGGATTTCAGAGGAGAAACAAGCCACAGCTCATAAAAAAGGCACCACAGCATAGAAGTACGTGAAGTGGATACCAAGAGATCCAGGCTTTGGTAGTGGCTCTGCTGCTAAGTGACCTTGGACAACTCATTTAGCCTTTCCAAGTATCAGTTTCCTCCTTTGTAAAAGAAAGAGCTGGCCTAGCAAGAGCATGGTGTAACAGAACATTCAACTTGAAGTCAGAAGAGACCCCGTTTGAATTCTGGCTCTGACACCAAGCTGTGTAACCATGGGCAAGTCACAACTTCTCTGAGGCTGAACTGTCTCCCTATAGGACCTCCCTCATTGGGTGATTGGTAGGATCGACTGAGAACCTAAGCTCAGGGTTTTGCACATATCAGTTATTAATGACTACTCTCTAAAGAGCAGCCTTTGGGCTCTAAAGTCAGCTTTGTTTGGCCATTCTAAGATTCTCTATTCCCGTCTTCCTCTCCAATGGGTGAAGCATATCCAAGAAACAGTGGATAGAGCACAGTGAGTAGTGTCTGGCCTGAAGTCAGGAAGACTCCTCTTCCTGAGTTCAAATCCAGCCTCAGGCACACTAGCTGTGTGACCCTGGGCAAGTCACTTAACCCTATTTGCCTCAGTTTTCTCATCTGTAAAATGAACTGGAGAAGCAAATGGCAAACCACTCCACTACATCTGCCAAGAAAACCCCAATGGGGTGACGGAAGAGTCGGATATTTCTAAAAAATGTCAGAACATCCAAGAAACTTTAAAACCAAATGACTCCTAGTTTGCAAGTAAGCCCATGCCTTGACAGCAAAAACAAGGCAACACTGCCCCCCGGTGGCAAACAGCCCAACTGCATGCTGCCATCCAGCAAACACCTCAGGCACCGTCCATCCGTCCGCTCCTTTCCAGAAGTCCTCTTCTTTCTTCTATCACCCCTACCTGACTGCCAAGTCTTAGACAGACTCCTCATGGGGAGGAGGGAGGCCCAGTATAAGCTGAGGGGAGGGGATATGCATAAATTCCGGGGGACAATCTCTCTCAGCCTGGCCACCAGAAGCTTCTCTCCCATCGTTCACCAGCTAGTTCACGCACTGAAAAATCTGACTTAGTAGTTGTGGGGGAGGGAGGCGATGAGGCCAGCAGAATCCATGAAGGCAAGGGCTGAAAGCAAGTTATTCCTAGCAGCCTTTCCATCCTCCCGGAAGGCTACAGCACCCCTCCTGCCCCGGGACAGAACACAAAACACGTACTGCAAGCACAGCGGCCAGTACCAGGCCACGGTAAAATCTGCTGACTCCATCACTACCACTGAGGTTTAAAGGCCATGCCCTGGTCACCTGGCTCCAGGCAACTGATCTATTCTAGGCATCAGACTCATTAAAAGCCCATGGCGTTCATCTAATCTTCAGTCTCTCCTTATCTCCTGGTTCCTTCTCCAATGCCCACAAGCATACCTCTGCCCCACCCCCACTCCAATTCTTTTTTAAAGTCCCCCCCCATCAACAAGTCTGCATTTATTCTCCCCCCACTAAGGAAGGCAAAAAATCCAAACCAAAACAAAATCCTTGTTAAAACATGTATAGTTGATGGCGGAGGGAAAGCAGTGACTGTCCTGAGCTCTCTCCCAAAGCCCTCCAAATACCTAAAAAAATGGCTCTAAACAAATTCTAAAGCAGCAGAACCCACAAAAAGACAGAGTGAAACAAATTTCCAGCCAAAGACAGCCTGGATGGTTGATCAAAAGGTACATCACGCCGGGCGGGGAGAGGAGCGCAGTTTGGTGTGAGCTCGCAGGCCGCAGTGAACCTGGAGCAGGCCTCAGAGGACTGAATTGCGGGCAGCTGTGGCGGTTTCCAGACTTCTCAACCCCTGCACACCAAAGACAACTTAGAAGGTCAGTGGGAAAAGTCTGTGACTGCAGTGAGAGAGGAGCTAGGTCTCAGCCGCAAGTCTCCAGCTCGGCCCCGGGGCCGCAGCTTTTTCCTGAGCTTCCCGCCCACAGACTGAGGGGGAATTGAGTGGCTGATCAGAGTCTTTGCCAGTGCTGAGGCAGGAATCTCTTGCTTTACCGGTGCTTGGACCTGGGTCACAGT